CCCTCACCGCCACAAAGGGAAAATGTGTGTTCTGTTCGCTATTGATCTAAACTACGCCACTTACAGAAAACAGCATAACTTAGACTGATTGCACCTCTGGCTTTTTGCATGTCTGTAGCTAACCAATGTGACATACACAATGAAGTCAGATAAACAAAGGTTTGTTCCATTGTCAAACAGATCCTATTTTTGCTAATTCTTTCCTGTTCATTTTCAGGGATTAATTTTGCTACAAAGACCTCAACCTGAGCTCTGATTTCAGTGGTCCTTAGATATTTCCCTTTCTTTAGGGAAAGGTTTTTAGACTTCTTGTCTTGCCTGTGAATGAAGTAAGCATCTCCCTGTCTACTATTTCTTTACTGGATCTTTAACAGCCCTCAAGTTTTTATCACATCTCCTCTTATTGCCATCTTGCTGTGATACGTCTTTGGTCCTTTATTAAGAACTAATTCCGGCTCTCAGTACATACAGCCTGAAGCATAAGTGCCGGTGGTTATGCTGGAAAGAGAGCAAGAAAAAGGAATATGCATTATGTCTTACTCCTTTTTGGAACAATATTGAACAATTGTTCCTACTGGGCTTTTTCTGGTATTAGTGGCTCTTCATCGTGCTAACACTAGAATTACCAATTATTGTGCACAGTTTTTAACATCAGTAAGAAATTAGAAAGTATTTTTCTTTGAAAGTTTTATGCTTACTATGCTTGATTAACAGTCAGATATTTAATTTAACTGCAGCATAACCACCTGCACAGGAATTAAAATAGCTAATTTCCTAAGTACAGGCATTTTTAATTTCCTGGTGCACTGTGAATACTGCATATTTTATTCTGTTACATCTTAATACAGTATAACCAGCTATCTTTCTAGTAAACCATTCAGAAAATTTACAGCAGAAAATTGTGCCTATGATCTCTTTTTCTTCCTATCAGTGGCTGAAAGCCAATCCTCAGCTAAAGCAGGAAGAGAAGAAAAGCAATGAGGATCTAACAAGGTCTCACAGAGGTTATGATCATCAGAAATACATTGCTCAGGGGCTAGTTCTTTATTTTCATGTCTCTTGGTGCAGTAATTAATATTTAGACCTGACTTCCAAGTCTAGGCTCATTTGAGAGCATGCAGCACTGCTGTGAAATTTATTCAGTAACAAAGACACCAATTTAGGATCTGGCTTAGGCTCTTCAAGTTATATTGTGACCCTGCTGGTCTGCTTTTAGCCTTTCCCTGTGTGTGGAGCTGTACTATTATTTCATGAACAGTCAGAAAGGACAAGAGGAGTACATAAAATACTCCATAATGACTCCAAAGAATACCCATAATGACTCCACAATAATTAGGATTATCATCAAAAAGAGTGAATTCATTAATATTCCGTTGCAATCAGCAGGTTTGCCTCAACAAACATTGAAAGATTTGCCCCCTAGTGTTGACAGAGATTTTTACTGTGGAAATCACAAGGAGTACACATGGTTTAAAAGGTCAAGCACTGAATCTGGAACGGTTTTGATGCTTATACTCAAATGGGTGTATACAGGCTATGCTGCTTTAGTATTTCAGCTCCTTCAAGAGTTCCTTCAAATAACAACGCTTCTAGTTCCCAGTTGATGCCCACTTCTCTATCATATGCATGGATTTTAAAAAAGAATAGTGTGCTAATAGGACTCAGTAACACTAACAGTCCTCTCTGGGCAGGATGTAGAATCACCTATAGAAACATAGCTTGTCTAGCTCCAATTTCTATTAATCAATTTTTTGGGATGGATTTTTCACTTTTAGCCAGGGGGTTGTTGTTTATTTGTTCTTTAATCTTCTTCCTAATTTCTGTACCTCCCAGATACAATTACTATCCATGTTACTATGCACATTCATTAGGAATGAAAGCAGCAGAAAGAGGCTCTGCAGTAGCTGAATTAGTTAAAATTTGACTTTGCACGGGTCTCCACTAATACCTATATTCAATTATGTGTCCCTTTCAGTCATGAAAATGCAAACTAACCTGAATATTACCTTTAAGATACAGGGTCCTGATTTCTATAGTAACCGAGTGTTTTCTCTTGAGTTATGAGCTATCACTACCAGTGGTCCCTAGATCCTGTTCTATAGCCTGAACATACCTCAGCTGAAATAATATGGACACATGTCACCCTAGCTAAGAAACACAGCATTTCTCAAAGCTTTCTAAAACAGATGTGTCCTGAGTTGCAACTACTTAATTTCTCGTGATGGCTGTATAGTCAGGGGCAAAGTAATACATCTTCATTGCTAAGTACGTTCCAATAGCTTGGCAAAAATATAAGTTCGTTTATAATAATGTGTGTTGATAACTCAAATATCAGAGATTAACGAAGAGGACTGTCATGAATAGAAAGTATCTAAATCATTTGATAAGGTGTGTATGGGGAAATGTGTTTCAAAATTACTATTTATAAGCTGTTCTGTGTAGGGATAAAAAAGGTAAACTGTGCTAACAGGATAGGGTATGCTATCCTGGAAATTAAATGACTGAAAAAAATGTGGGGATCATCAGCTGAACATACATTCCCAGTGTGATTCTGTGGCAAATAATATCAGTATAAAGCATAAGAAAAAGAAATAGGGGAATCTCAAGTAGGAGTATGTAGTGTGTAATACCAGGTCTACCAATCATGTCCACATTTTGAGAAAGCAGCTGAAAAGTTAAAGCAGTTTCAAAGAAGAGCTGTGAGGATGGTTAAATAATAAAACCTTGTCTTCTACTGAAAGTTTTAAGAAGAAAAATCTATTCCATTTATCAAAAAGAAGGGTAAGTGATGACTGAATCATAGCCTATTAGTGCCTATGTGTGGATCAGGAATTAAATAACAAAGGGCTCTTCAATCTATCAGACAAAAGTATGGCTGAAAAGTCAAATCACTGGAAGGCAGCCTAATTCAAACTGTAAAAAAGGCAACGCATTTTAACAATGATGACAATCACTGAGACAAATTACCAAGAATTGTGCTGGATTGTCCATCAATGGTAATTTTAAAATCAAGGCTGGGTGTGCTTTTTAAAAGTTACAATCTAGTTCAAGAACAGCTATGGGATTCACAGAAGGAATTACTACAGGAAGAATTTATGACCAGCATGGGTGCCAAGTACGTAGGTGCCGTGAGGGTCCTGGCCCCCCTTGGGAGGAGGGCTGCACCTGAAATGTGTAAAACTTTCCACACGTCCATCATCTAATTATGTTTCCCTCCCCTCCCCTGTGCTCCCCTGCACCAGAAAAATAAAAGTCAGAGCCTATGATGACCAGCTTTATTCAGAAAGTTAGATTACATGTTAGTCAATCTTTTTTTGGTCTTATAAATCTATGAATCTATGAAACTCTTGGATATATTTAATGTTTCAGGAAGAGATCTATTACTGAAATATTTTTGTGTAATTGTGTTAATAACCACCCTTTTCTTTGGCTTCCAGGCTTATTTTAACAACAGATCTTCTCTGTTCCCTACCTGCGATGATTATAAAATGCAAAATTTGTGTCAGATACCCAACTTACACTGTCAGTAGCAAATTTACCACCAAAACACTCAGAACAGATTTTTCTACCCACCCACAAAAATAAAGGAACATTGCTGCAAGACATATACCTAAAATAGAAACATATACCTTAGTAAAGATTATAATTTTGAAGTAAATCAGTTGTGCTTTATGATTTATGGTTTACAGTTTACAGCACATGTTTTATCACTATGAACCACCTTTTTTCACTCAGCAAAATAGCAAAACAAAGAAGTTGGATGCACTTTAAACATTGCTGGAAAATCAATGATTTTAGATAAAATCATTCCAACATAAGCAATCCAAATAAGCAAACATGTATAAAAGGTGTGTTTTCTGCACATCCCTTCACAGCATCTGATGAAGTTAGCTTCAGTTCACACAAGCTATTGCCATATAGATATAGATATAGATATACACACACTTAGTTAGTTTATAAGGTGCAAACTTACCCTGCCTCCTACTTCAAACTAAAATACCTAACTATGTCTCAAATATATATAAAAATAGATGCAGGAAAATCATGCAATATTAGTAAGTATTAGTAAATGTTTCCCTGGTTACTTTCAGAGATGTTTTATACATTCTGAATCATTTGCTGAATGGTCTTTCTGTTGAAAGTTTGCACAAGCTTGTCTACTACAATGTAGGTACAGACAACAATAAATACTGCTTCTTAAAGAAATTGCTCTGTTTTTATTTAGGTAAAACCATCATTGAAATCAATGGGAACTCAAAAGGTGAAATTCCCAGAGATAAATTCTGATGGTCTTAACTAAAATTTTATTTCATTCTTGTAAATGCAGGATTTGCATTGACTTTATTGAAGTGTTTTAACAGAGATGGGGCTAAGGACTTCAGGAAAGCCCCATAAAAGCCAGTGGGCTTGAATAAAGACTGTGTAAAAAGTGAAAGAGGACTTTAGGGTTTGGGATTATCCTCAGATTTCCCACCACTATTGTCATCAATACAAAAACAGCAGGACCTTTCTAATTATATAGGGTCATCTGCACTGAGGCAAAGGATGGCCATATATGCTGAGATGCAGAGGCAATCGAACTTAATCCCCAAACACTATTAAAGAAGCAATAATAAACATTATTTTTTTCTGAAACTAATGGCCAGGTATATGATCTCACAGTGAATAGCATTTATGAGTAACTCTATAGAAGTCTATAGAAGTCAATGAGTATATATTGGGTGGTATTCAAAGTAAGTGAAGATTGTAGCTCTGGTCCTCATAATACAAAAATAGAAGGGAGTTCTTAAACGGAAACAAGGCAGGATGCAGGAGAGTAAAAGTTTTTATTGTAATGTTCAAAAGTCTTTGATCAGAACACAGAAAAACTTAGCTGCTGTTCAAAAGTAGGAAGGGAGGGGCTGCAGCAGGTTTTGAGTGGGAGTGATTCCAGTGCACACTTCTGCACATTTTATTCTAAGTGGCATTGGCTTAGTAGGAAGTTAAAAAAAAAGCCTTACCTCATTTAGCTGCTGATTCTGGAGGGGAAATCCTTTAGCTGAGACAATGAAAAGACTGCCTAGAGAATAGCAGGGTTAGGTAAACACAGGTGCTGGGTTATCACTTCAAAAGCCTCACAGGAGTGAATATAAATGGATGTGATATTAATTTTAAAACATTTTGTAGAACATTGACCCAGCCAATAAGGTAATTCCTTAGGTCATTTCCTGCTCCTCTGATTGGGTCAGAAATAACAACAACAAAAAAAAAGATTTGCATATGGCCAACTCACACCTTAGTGTTCAAACAAAACAGGTCTAACCAGGTTACCCACGTGTCTTAAGAACTAAATAGAAACCTGTTAATGGATGAGGAATTGATTTCTCTATAATTGTTTTTTTAAGACCATCTACATTTTTTTTTTTTGGATGAAAGGTTATTTCAGGTAGATAGGCGGCTTATAAATAGAACAAGGAGAAATTAAATGAAAGAATGCCCCTGTTTGGTAGTACATTTAAAATTAGGCTTGAAATACACTAGGAAATGTATTGGAGGAAGCAATCCCACACATGGGCAGGGGGATGGATTGGATGATTCAATATGGTGGGCTACCCATTTCCCAAACACTGCTGTGCCACTACTGAGCTTCACTAGGCAACATAAAAGGAAAAGAAGAGAATTACAACCATGGGGTACCTTGACACTTGCTCCGGGGGGGTGTGGTGGCATTTTAATTAGAGCGGCTCTGAGATCCACTCTAAAGTGCCCACAGTGTCTTGTGTATGCAGTGTCCCATGCTTCAGAATGGTGGCGGGGCGCTTTAACTAAAGCTCGTTCAACAAGCTTTATTTAAAGTGCCCCTGCTGCCATTTTGAAGCTCAATGTTGTTGAATACACAAGACGTGGAGGTTGTTGGAACACACTAAGTAGCACACGCCAGCAGACTTGATTAATTGGGTCTGCTCTGATGCATTGTAATTAGAGTACATTGGAGCAGCATCCCTGCACATGTACAGGCACCCATTATGTCTTTTCAAACCCTGCCCTCCCATCAACGTGGAGGACCAAGAGATTTACATTAACAAAAATACACCTGAATTGAAACCCCACTGAAATCAATTATTTCACTGAGTTTAGATCAGGACTAGGGCAAAAGCCTTTCACTGGGTAGGTCACCACTTCAGCTCTGGACTTTGGTGAGGTAATACCATGTTAGGTTTGTGCTTGAAGTACAGGGACTGGAAGTTAGGTGTCCTTGGGCATGTCACACATGATGCTATGTTGCTGTAGCAACGCACTATGGCAACATAGCATCGGTGGTCACAAACCATGATGCTGCAGCTACGTCACCATAGCAATGCACTCCCTCATTAAAGAGTGTTGCTCCAGCGACATGGCAGCTAAAAATAACCATGCACAGTGTGCATGGCACAGTATAGGCTGCTACTATCCTGTCATTTAGTACTTTCTTTGGTGCAGCTGGGACATGTGTAGACGCACCCCCCTATTGCTATTATTAATGCTATAACAAATTTGCTTTCTAACTTTGGATAGGTCTCTTAGGGCAGGGGAATTAGGGACTTAAATACCTCAAAAAATGTGGTCCTTGTGCTTGTTTCCCCATCTTAAAGGTGAATTTAAGATGAATAAAACTAAATATAACTGTGTAGGCTGTGAGGGTTAACTAATTTGTGTGTACAAGAAACAAGAGACAGCAAAGTATCATTAGATGATGACTGTTCAGTGGCCTCGGTAAAATGAGTTTAGAAGCCTCAGTTCAATGCAGTTCCTGCCACCTTCATGGATCTGCACTGAACTGAGGCCACTGAACAGTCATCATATAATGATGTTGTTAAATATTCTTGATGCAGGCACTAAAGGCCACAAGCAATAGTAATAATACTGAGCAAAAAATGCATGGTAAAAATTACCACACTTTGCTCTCTCTGTCAGCCTCAGTTTTAAGCTTTTTCATTTCCTGTGACCACAGGCAACATCAGAGGATCTCATAGGCATCATGTTGTCTGCAAGCCATGGGTATGGAGTAAACCCTCAATAGGTGCAGAGAATGATCTATCCTTTGACCTCTAGTGGAAAAGCCTGTTAATTAAGGAGACAGGGAGGGAAAAACGTGCTTCCCTGTTCCTTCTGCTTGCTGAATATCTGGATAAATAGAGGATTTCAGTCTCTAAGGATTTCCATCTTGCACCACTCACCAGCAATGCAGTCTGTATTTAAATGAATTAAAATACATGCCGGTCTGGTTTGGCAGAAAGAAGATGCTTCATAATACAGCCATTGCTTGGAAGGGTGAGCTATAGCTGTGTCACCTTTGACACCATCAACCCACTTCCATGGTAATTCCTGGTAGCCTAAGAAAGTCACACTTGAGAAACAAGGAAGTCAATCACTTCCATCACTCTGTTGCATGCCAGTTGTAACACTAAGGAACAACTATGATGGTAAAAACCAGCCCTTCCACAATTAGTAGCTTCCACAAGTAGGTCAATGATCTATCTATCCATGCCCTAAGATTTGCCTAAGTGCTTGTCACAGGAGCCAACCACTTGCATACTAGCTCATCTCCCCGATACATATTTATACTTGTGTTTTCATCGTCAACGTAATAATTAGTTGTTATGTTAATCAGAGAGCCACACAAGCTCAGAGAGGGAGACAGAGAAAAAGTCAATGAGTAGGCAGAAAAAGAGATGGAGAGAGCACTTCATACCCTTTGTATGGCATGAGTAGCAATAGACCACTTCTTGCCCTAACATGGAAAGGTAAAAGAACCACAGTAAAATAGGTCTTATGTACACTGCAATATAGTCAGAGAGTACTGATTGAAAAGGTTGTCAGGGAGACCACAACATGCCAACTGTTGGCAGGATACCTACAGTGGAAGTACAGTGCATTCGCTTCTGGGGGCAAGGGAAGGAGCAGCTGAACCACCCTTAGTTTAGGTTGCTGAGACCCCTTTTATCCTGGTTCCTATGGAGAGGGAAATCTAAAGCAGCTGAGACCTACAATAGGTTTCTTTCAGACAGACAGAAAACCACATTGTGCCAACATCTGCATCATGCAGATCATCATGAAGGAGAAATACGTAGGCTGCCTTTACTTAGCAGGGAAGGAATGGAAGCCTCTATCCAGATTGTGGAACATCATGCATTACTTAGTAGTCTGGTATGGGATACTTCTAAAGACAGCATGGACAGAGTAGTTGCTCCTTAATGCTACCTCCCAGCTAGTTAGCCACACCTCTTATGATCTAGGTTATGCTTCTTGTAACATGCATCTTATTTCAAAGGAGAATCTACTGATGGCTCTCTGAGGCAGCCAGACTCCCCATACATATCCTCCAGACCTTGAGCACCACAAAACTAACAAGATATTGCTACCTCCCCTCTCTGGATAGCAGAGGATGTATGAGGGACTCAGACACACAGAAACACAGGACTGGAGAGGACCTCCTTATATTCCTAGGTATTCCCTGAGTCCTTTGTATTCCCAGGTAATCGTGTAATAAATATGAATTTAAAATGATCCACAAGAACATCCTCTCCAGCCCATATAACAAAACAAGAAGAAAAAAACAAAACAAAAAATAAGGAGAGAGCAGAGAATTAGTAATATCTTGGACACCTGCAAAGGCATTTAGTTTTGGTATGATATGGCTTCACATTCCTAGGAAGCAGACCACGATTACATCGTAAAGAATGCAAAATAAAACACAAAGGTCCTTACCTGCCTGAAAATGTCTTCTTGACCCCAAGACTAATGATTGATTTACCATGGAGTGTATGAGCACGATCCACCATGATAGGTTTCATGGTATTGTTTAAGAGCATCAGCACACTGCAACCAATCTCTAATCTCCAACATAACTAATGTCCGATGCTTTTTAGAAAAGGCAAAAACAAAAATCCTTAAACCAATATAATCAGTGATATGGCATAAATGCCTGTTCAAATGGCTAGAATTTTCCTCTTCCATGTTTAGCCATTATAATAAAATTATATTAATTGGCTGGCTGGCTAAGATCTAAAATGGAGTCTCATCATTATTGTTTCTGATAAAGAAAGAGCATAAATGTTAGATAATTTCCAACTTCTTATATGAGCTATCATGAAATATAAACAAGAGAAGAAATGTATTTTAATCTCCACTTTACTTCATAACTACATTTAGCTGTGTGAGAAGCTGTTGTTTAAACTGGATTTTTCAAATAATCATTGAAAATGATGGTTTAATGTATGAGGTTCTCTGCCTTGATTCTGTTCCTCCTTTCACCGTGCCTGGGGAGAAGTAAACAGATGAATAATAAAGGGAATTACAGAAATGCACCAAAAGGAACTAAAATAATAAACTTTCTATGAGAATAGCAATAGAAAAGGCAGATATCACAAACAGAGTCACACCCAAGCTATATTAGATATTATAGGTGAGGTTGCACTGTCTATTATTAAGGATGCCTGACACTTCCCAATCTAAGATGAACTCTGGACATTAGTCGTCTTTTGGATCTTTTTTTATTGTTGTCCTTTTATATTTGCACATCAAGAGGTGCCTTACTTCTTTATATAAGCATGGGAAACCTACATGAAAAGAACTTTGTTAAGGTTGTAAAGTTCAAAGACAGAAAACATCAGCTTTAAGATTATCTGTTTGAGTTTAAGTTAGCACTCTTGTGTATATTCTGCATTCTGATATAATCTTGAATGATATGACTGGGTATTATTCTTTCCACAGAACTCCTACTTCATTTGTGGCACAAATTAAAAGGTTAGTAGTAGTGGATAAGAGAGTGATTTCTGGGAAAGGATGGTGTCATGTGTAAATCAGTTGAATGCTGCCCTGGAGCATTCAACTACCTAGGTTCTATGACAGAGGGTTGGTCTGCAAGGTATAATTAAGTGCTGTAAAGATCTCTTCCAAGTTAGCATTGAATGTGCTAGATAAGGTATCAGAAGCAGTATATTTATCTGCCCAAGCTAATTAGAATGTAAAAGTGTTCTCTTTTATTTGTTGGTTTCTTGTGTACAAACAAAGATATAAAGATGAACAAGTATCAAAAGACAAACAAGAAGGCTCATGTATCAGGGCTGTTTTCTTCCTTCAGGATGTG